ATTAAGTAAGATTGCCTCCAATAAGCAACCTCTTGTTTCTGCAGAAGCCCGTGCCTGCCTCAGCACGTGCCAGAAGGAAGAGTCATGAGGAATTCTGCTGAAACAAGACACTATTGACTTACACCGTTAAAAAAGGACAAATTTTAGTCTTCTTTGTATATACTGGACAGCGTCAAATGAAAAAGAGACTTAAAAGTTATTGAAAAATGCATGGATTGCATGGATTTATTGCACGGATTTATTAAGGTCCTTACAGAAAAGTAATGTAGTTTAAAAAAAAAACAACCAATGGTACTGCTTCATCAAGAGAAATTTTTAACTTTCTGATACTTTTACTAATACAAAATACAGGTCTCTGACCTCATTCATCATGCATAAAGACTGAAGCAAGGCTCCTACACAGTGACCAGTGCGGATTGTTGTAATGAAGAACATCAGGATGCTGGTGGAATGTGCACCTTCAAATATAGTCAGAATTAGTTGGTTCTTGAACGTGTCTATTACAACTCAAGATCCCTGCTGCATATGCTTTTACTTTCCATATGCATCAAAATTTATGTGATTCAAGTTTTAGAGTCACTAGAGATTTTGAGTGCTGAATATAAGAAACATTTAAGAAACCTGTTTTACAGGGGGCAGCTCTGAAAAATCATGTTATTCAAAGGTGTCTTGATTGGGACTTTCCTTTTCGCTTCTGTATGTGCAGGTAAATGTTTAGGTTTGTGCATATAGTGCACATAAATATACCCTTAAGCAAGAAAGTTGCATGAGTGGTTGGGTTTCAGTCTGAGTAAAGGGTTTGTCCTAAGTTCAGGATAATCCTATTCCATAATGCTGCTATCATTAGGATATGCCATCTGCAGCTGTCTTTGGGAAATATATGAAGAATATACTTTTTGAGTTCCATGTGTTCACTATGCATTTCTGCAGCCCTTTTAAAATAGATGCCTCATTCTTCTCAGCCAAAAACCAGGAACAGTTTGCTTGTAATTTACTGTCTTTTAACATTTGCCTTCTCTATAAAACCTTAGGAAAAATGTTGGAGTTTCCCCTTGCTGTTCAATATAAAAGCTTCAAGGTTTCTTTGAAAAAGAAAACTGATGAGCTCAGTTTAGAGCACATAATTGCTGCCTTTACTATTACAGGAGTCAATACAATGCTAGTAACACAGGCAGGGCAGTTACTTCGTAAGGACCAAGTGCATGGTTATTGTGTCGGAGATGGTAATTTAGCACGCTCATACTAAAACTTAATGAAACATTTATTACTATATTTTTGTTTGCCTTGTTATTTGAGTAATTCCATTTATAAATTTCACAGCAAATCATTGTTAAATGCTGAAGCTTTGACTAAAGTCACCTGTGAATCCAGCCATGAGCCTTTGGACTATAGGCTACGGTGTAAAAAGCAAGGCAAAAATGTTATTTGTCTCGATATTTCTTTTCTTCTTTTCACTTCGTCTTTCACATCTTGCACTTTGCACTTCAGGGCTGGTTTCAGTGCAATGTGGAAAATTTGTGCAAATGAGACACATTTCATTGGGCACTTCAACATTTTTTTTAAAAAACAGATAGCATTACAATTTTGCAACCCATGGTAGGGAATGAAAGCTAGCATTCAGACACTTCATTTCCTAATTACCAGAAGATAAATGGACATAAAATCATTAAGTAAAAGAATTTGAACACCATCAAAAGTAATAAGTGTTCCATAGGAAATGAATTTGGTAAATTTTGAGGGCATTATAATTAGTCACCATGACTTGTTCATGAATTAGAACTTTTTCTGCACTTGGCTACAATTATTTTGATTTAATGCTTTTTATCCGTGAATAAAGTTATTCAATTCCATTTAACTATCTAAAGTGATTTGCAAGATCTAAACTCTCAGATATCTCTCCTGTTTGTCTCTTCCAGTCTATTTCTCCCATCCAGCTTTTTATGAGTCACTGAATTATTTCTAAATCCCAAACACATTTGGATGACTAGCTTGCTTACCAAACAACAACTGTAAAAAGAGGGACTCATACTGGATTATTAAATTGATGACTGTAAATCTAGGTTTGTATAAAAGCCTTTTAATAACTTATTTATGTACAACTTTCTCAAATCATCACTGAAGGGCTGGTATTGACCTGCAAAGGGAAGGTATTCTTCAGTCCCTATTGCCACATAACTTGCCTTCAGAAGGCCTCAAAATGACTTAGCTATTAATGAATCGAGAATGCATTTGTCATAAGGAAATTACTTCTTACCTAAAAAACAACATTACAATTCTGCCATGAACACGGTAACTCAAAATGCCTTTTTTTTTTAAAAAGGTTTTTGAAGCTGGAAATGCCTTTTGGCTTTCATTTGCTTTCTTTGCCAACCTGGGGCGGGGGGGAAATAGGAGAGTGGAAAGGTCTGGAAACAGCGTAATTGGGTCTGTTAAAGAGATAGGAAACATTGCTTTGGGGGAAGAAAACATGCTATTTGCAACAGAAAAATGCATAGTGGATAATAGAAGATCAGCTGCAAGGGAAAACGAGCTATTGCCTGCAGGTTGAGATGGCGTGAATAGAGGTATCGGCACAGAAGAGCCTCTTCAGTCTTCTGGTGAAACACTAACTTGGCATGTCAAACTCTACCTTGGAAAATAAAGCCACACGGGACACTTTCTCTTCACACACTCATAGCACATACAAAACGTTTCAGTGATTAATATAAAACTAAACTGTGTGTGAAAGCGGCTTGTGCCACCAGTCTTCTGACTGATAAACCTCTTGTGGAAGATGTAGACAAGCTGGTGCTACAAGTCTTTCTTCCTTCATCCCAGGCAAAGCCAGGGGAAGGAAATCAGTGCTACGCCTGTAAGACCTGCCCGAAAAACCAGGACAGTTTGTCAAAAGAATATCCGTTGCCTCATCCAATTTCTGGATTTACAAAGAAGAGGCTGGCAGGATCTTCACAATGTGAAGGCGAGTGTGAGCGCCGACCGGTGGGGGAAAGCAGAATGCCTTCCAGCGGGGGAGCAGAACCACCCCCCACCGCTCTGAGCGGGGAAATCATCCTTCCTCCTAACACAACATCAGAACGGCTGAATTTGGCCAGAGCGGTGTAAGGACATCATCACGCCGCCTGCTAACATGCCCTTTGGCTCTGGGCCGTTGGGGCTCAGGGGCTTCCTCTCCTTTCACGTAACCACCTCATTGGGGCCGAGAAGCAATGGGAAAAATTCACAGATCAAAACACTGCAATCCAGCCTCACGAGGCAGAACTACAACCAGGAAAGAAAACCCTGTATATAAGAAAGCTGGGAGCCACTGCAGTCCTGGAGAAGAGGGCTGCCTTGGGAGACTGCAGGATTCAGAGAAGCATCACGGCAAGCGTGAACCTGGAAGGCAAACCCACTCGGCCATGTCCTTTCCCACTGACAACACTGGGAATCCCACCGAGTGGTTGAAGTTATTTTGCCTTAAAGCTCTGCTCCACGTTACACACTGAGGGTTTCACTTTCCCCTAGGATGTAACTAAAAGCTGAGGCAGATATGAAAATTCTTAAATTTGGCATATGTCTATTTATACTCAAGATTTTTATTAAAAAATACATCACCAGTTTCCACCTCTGTCAAGGGCTGTGTACACTAGACCTCTCGTAGGATGTTCCTGAAGAGAGTACTGACTCCGAAATGGCTGCAAACTCCTCTCACTACCACCTGACACTCAGTTCCCCATCTTCTCGTGTCTCATCTGGGAATAAACACCTCGTTTTGACAGGTTGTAGAGCTTCGTATTTTAAAACTTTCCTTTTCTTCTGGCAACTGCTCCACTTCCTCAACTCCTTTCACTTTCTTTTTCATTTATTTTTAATAGTAGAGATATTGAACTACTGAGAAACGGCATTTCCAATTACTTATTGGTATAAACTCTCATGCTATTGGGACACAGGTGCCATTCCAGCTGTACTTTGACTCTTTGCATTTGCTACTGTTAACATCCACAATAACAGTTAATTAACTGCTATTTAAAGCAGAGGCCTCTTTTCTAGATCGTGGCAGCAAGGAACACAAATATTTTTGCTTTATACATCCCTGTGATCCAAGACAGGTATTTGGAAAAATCTTCCTCCATGGCAAGGGGAATAAATCTGTTCAAAAACTCAAACGGCACCAAAAAGGCAAAAATAAGTGTCTGAATGAGCGGGCATATCTGAATTCTAAAATAAATTAAAGTTTCAAGGAGTTAATGACTTGTATGAAATAACCACTTTTTTCCTACTTCAGTGAAGAAAGGCCAGGTAGAGGCCACAAACACGGTATAGCTAAAATGTTACTGTGAAAAGAAAAGAAAAAATAAATCCCAGCGTCAGTATTAAGTGATTGCCTTATATTTATTCATTAGCTGAACCCTTGCAAAACACCCCGCCCACTTACTGGAATGTACAAGACTCCAACACCCCTTTATAATCTTCTGTGTTTTTCTAGACAGAGGCCACAGTCCTCAACAAGTAAAGTACAGAGTAAAGTAAAAATGGGAAAAAGGGTGTCAGGGAGTAAGAAGATTGGGGTTGCTCCATGCAGGTGTACAAGCAGGAGCTGAGGGTGACCCTGGCACAGGTCGTAACCTCAACTGACCAGGGCACAGTCATGCTGTATCTGAAGATGGCAGGCGGAGCCGAGTGCTGGTCCATCATAGCCCCAAACGTGGCAAGCGACGAACTGGTCCAGGGTCCTTCCAGAGAGTCCCATCAGGAACAGCACAGTAAGGGCTGGAGGCAGTGCTGGAGAGAAGGTTACAATGCAGTTTCAAGGTCCACGTGGGAGACAGGTACATCTGCAGACACTGCTCAGGGCAGGACTGGGGCTGCTCAGGGCAACTGAGGCCAATCAGTGCCCTCATGGCCCTGACATACGATACCTAAAGTATCACTTACATACAACATAATTTAGTACAATGTGCACGCGTTTATATCAAACAAAGTGCTGGAGGTGTGGAAAGACTTGTTAAAGACAGCAGTACTCTTTCTGCATTTTGGCCTGTTTATTACTGCTGTTTGAGTTTTTTTGCAACTTGTGCTTCTTTTTGATAATGTGAAATAATCTGAACAATTATGAGGCTATTAATAAAAAGGAAAAGCAAGCCTGCCAACCATATAAGTAAAAAAGTGCTATATCCTTTGAACTCCAGAAAGTACGCAGGAGCGAGCCACAGGCCTTGTCCAACAAACCACAGAAAGAGAAGCAGCACACCACGACGCCAGGACATCTTAACACTAGGCATTACGAGGGGCAAAAGGCAGAGATACCAGACAAAGTACTGGGATGTGCATACTTTGTTAAAACTCACAAAAATAGCCGTGTGTAGGAAACAACAGAAGGCAAGGTCTCTGTAAAATGCTATGGACACAACCAGGAGCAAAAGCAGCTGGGGCAGGAAAGCTGCGAGCCCAAGGGCGAAACTCCATTTGCTCTCCGCAGTTAAGTACAACATGTAGAAATAGGGAGAGAAGTTATGACGGATATCCCTCCTGGTCAGGTGGTAGAGGTAGGCATGCTCCAAAAAGTCCCAGCCGTAGAGGTGATAAAATGCAACAGTCAAAGCA